TGCTTCTTGGAAGGAACTACACTGGTTGGGCAAAACTCGGTGCGCAGTGAAAATCAGGCCCGATAAAAATAAGATCGGAGGTAATGGTTGTTTAACCTTTTAGTCAACAAAGCTATTGTGCCTTACAATACCTATCCTATTGTCTGAGTCTACTTTCGGTTCTAGAGGCAATTATGGGTTCAACTCTACACTATGTGGGGAGCAGTACCCTGACTATTTGACACATGTCAGAAGCTAGAGCGCACACGTTGCTTCCACAACCAGCCAGGAGGCCCAAACGATTAATCTCTGTTGGTGAACCCAAAACGCTTCCCGTGACTGGTCGCGGGGGAGCGGGCTCAGTTGGTTGAGAGAATAAGTGAAATTCAGCAGGTCGTGGGTTCATTTTAGGGATGCTTTCTATTTTCTATCAAATCTTGTTTTTTTTTCGGTCCTTCTTAAGCAGTACCAGAAATAAGATTTAAAATGGTGTTGTGGAAACGCCAAGTTCGACAAACACACATCTACTTCCATCTATGAAACTGTGCATGTGGGGCAACGACAAAAAAATATTTTCCTGAAAGGCGTCCGGACACCGCCTAACATGCATGAAGCACTGTTGGTCCCCCACCTAACACCTTACATGACTACCGACCGACTACCTTCAACTTCATTTCCTCCGGCTCGTCCCCTGATAAACCCCGCGTCAACCCCAAATTCGTCTGCACAACACACCTGAAAACGAAAGTTTTACTACACGACAAAAGTTTCTTGAGTAAAGTGCAGTCTCCAGGTTGCGTACACAATGTCCAAACATGGAACCTAGCCCCCCCGCCAAGGAGTGTAAAACCAATGGTAGATCAACAAGTGTCGAAGAGTTGTTATACCCACGAGTTGTTGAGAAATAGACCGATGGACGAATCCAGATACCAGCTGAAGAGTTATAGTATCACCAATCTCCCCAATCGGCAATGTTTGATGACCCCGCATCATCGTGATGAGGGGTTGGTATAAGCCTTGCTCTCGCATCGTTGCTATGGTGTAAGCTTATCTCAAGGGCTGAGGAGAGTTTCAGGCCTGGTTGGTGTTCCCCCTTATAATACATAGACTAATGAAAGGATAAGATAGATGGGTGTTCCCCCTTACTATACGTAGACTAGCAAGAGGATGAGATAGATGAGTAAATTATGTATATAAAAATAAATTGACAAAAGAATATAAAAAAATACAGAAAAAAAAAGATACAACCAAACGACAAAAATAAAGCATTTTTGAAATATATGTGACCAGCCAGTTCAATGACGATATCTAAAGGACGTCACTCTCCCCCCCCCCCCCCCCCCCCCCCCCCCAAAAAAAAAAAAAAAAATCAGTACGCCGTCCACGGATTCATGTTGGAACCAGCTGCACCCAATCCAGTTCGTAAGGCATGCCTCAGGAGGTCTTCGGTTCAATCCCCATTGACCTCATGTACCTTACAGGGCAAGCTTGGTGCCTATTGCCTAAAGGTAGCTCGTTGCCCCCCCCGAGCCGCATTGAGCAGTGACTGGTAACCAATCGACAAAAATAAAGCATTTTTGAAATATATGTGACCAGCCAGTTCAATGACGATATCTAAAGGACGTCCCTCTCCCCCCCCCCCCCCCCCCCACCCCCCCAAAAAAAAAAAAAAAAATCAGTACGCCGTCCACGGATTCATGTTGGAACCAGCTGCACCCAATCCAGTTCGTAAGGCATGCCTCAGGAGGTCTTCGGTTCAATCCCCATTGACCTCATGTACCTTACAGGGCAAGCTTGGTGCCTATTGCCTAAAGGTAGCTCGTTGCCCCCCCCGAGCCGCATTGAGCAGTGACTGGTAACCAATCCAATGTATCTGAACTCTATGTGATCGCACGGGCGGGGGGGGGGAAGGGGGGGAGGGGGAGGGGACCAGAGGCTGAAAAGGTCAATGTTCACAAAACATGGACGACAAGGGGTAGTAGATAATATCATGATCAACATTCTTTTAACTTACTGACGTAGATAGTTTTTGCCTATATAAGTAACACGCCGCAGTCAAAACCACAAATATAGAGTTACACCCGATAAATAGCAAAAGTAATGAGGTTAGTAGGTGCCTACATGTATTATTGGAATCAATATGTTTCAGCACAAAGTATATGAACCTACTGACCCATCCAATATAACTCTCTCACGACATGAGGAAAGGGGTAGAGAGGAAGGAGGGAGGAAGAGGGGAAAGTGATACATAGGTCGGTAGGTGCCTACATTTATTTACAAAATCAATGTGTATGAGCACAAAGAGTAGGCACCTACTGACCAGTCAAATAATACTCGACTGAACATGAGAAAAAGGGTAGAGAGAGGGTAGGGAGCCCCCCCCCCCAATCATTTTAAGCCCACTGTAAGTTGTTTGTAACCACATGAAATCAGACTCCCTGATTATCGACGATTATGGCAAATTAAAAACCCGCCCATCTCGCTGACTTTTTTTTCTGTTGATGCCATCGACTGGCTATAAAAGCCAACACTCCACCCAGCAGCCTCACACTTGTGGCAGTGCTGTTGGGACATTCACTTGTGTGGATGCTGGCTGGTTGCTGCATGTAGAGGGGAGGTGCTGCTGGTGGAGGTACGAGAGGAAGTACTGTCGGAGAGGAGAGTTAAGGTCTGTAAATTAGAGGGAGACACTGCTGGAGGCTCTCTGCCATCAACAAAAAAATTGTGGCAAATTTTCTGACAGGATGATCACATGTGGACCCCTTTTCTAAGCCGTTGGAACTGTATCAATAAACTGTTTGGCAGGAGGGGTGTCATGTGTTCCACCAGAAGTGAAGGAATTCAACGCTGACCAAACATTTGGTAAACAGAAAATAGTGTGTCCAATTGTTGAAAAGTTGTTGACAAGTTGTTGAAAACTGGTTTACCAATTGTTGATCCACTTGTTGAAAAGTTGTTTACAAGTTGGTCCATTTGTTGAAAAGTTGTTGAAAACTTGTTTACCAATTGTTGAACATTGCATTTTTTGTTGGGGAAAAAAATGAAATTTGAGCTCGTGTCGTACGTCTTTGCGTTTTTTTCCCAGTACGGGGGCCAACTTCTCAACCTTTTTCTCCCACTGCACGAAACACTATGCTCTTTCGCATTTATCAATCTTTGAGTCTTCTAGTACTCCTGACATGTAATACACACTGAATGAAGAAAATGAGAGAGAGAGAGAGAGAGAGAGAGAGAGAGAGAGAGAGAGAGAGAGAGAGAGAGAGAGAGAGAGAGAGAGAGAGAGAGATAATATGGTGGGGGGGGGGGGGCAATTCTACAAGCATAGTTTACTACTGCGTGACACAGTTTCCCCAGCATGACAGTCCGGGAGAGAGAGTGACACGCAGTAGTCAACCTTTCTTTTGAGTCTTCTGGATTGCGGTATTTCATTCTACGGATGGACGCATGCGGTAACCTCAATCATATACTGAGCTGCCTTGGTACAAGCAGGGTTCACTACTGTGTGACACAATTTCGCCAACATGTCAGTCCGAGAGAAAGAGTGACACGTAGTAGCCAACCTTTCTTTTTTCCTCATCGAATGGATGACGATATTTAATTTCACGGATGAACGCACTAGCCAATCATATGATTGAGGCACGTAGTAGCCTCAATCATACGCTGAGCTGCCCTGGTACGAACACGGTTCACTACTGCGTGACACAAATTCGTCAACATGTCATGCCGAGAGAGAGAGTGGCACGCACTAGCCAACCTTGTCTTGTTTTTAGTGTGGGTGATATTTGTCAACCACATCTTGTCATGTTTTTAGTGTGGGTAGTTGTATTTACGGTCACTGAGGCAAGTCACGGGTTACAACGATCCTTGTCTTCTCATTGGTCTCCTATTTTCCTCTGCAAACTGTGATGTCTTTGAACATCATGGTATTGCACATTACATAGTCGCTCACTCCTCAATTAGATAATAATGAGCATTACAAGGGATTGTACAATGTTGTATCATAAATAAGAGAGCATATGTTGTACAATGATTGTTTGAGTGTCGTGGTTCACAGTCATCATCTCCGTTTGTCTCTCTCTCTCTCTCTCTCTCTCTCTCTCTCTCTCTCTCTCTCTCTCTCTCTCTCAAGCATGCAATGACAGTGATCTTCTGCAACTCTTATTGGCAGATTTCGTTATGAACCTTCTGATTCACACAAATGTGTTCCCCTCCCCTCCCCCGCCCACTGTTCAAGGTTTGACACACAGACTTTCAATATCCCTCTCCCCGTCTCTGCTTCTCTCACGAAGTGGTGCAATGAACTCCAAGTTGAAATCGTCATCTGTTATCGTTATGTTATGTGGCCCGCTCCTGTAGACAGAGGGTAGTCCAGCTCGAAATAAGGCAACGGCCTTCACAGAAATAGATGCAGCGCAGTCCAACTTGAAGATCGAAAAACTCATGACTGTGTCGCGACTGCAGACAGATGATGCGATGTCGTGCTTTATACATGTCAATTTTTGTATCTGGTCGGCCGCTCTACTGGTCTTTGCTGTCTGCTCGATTTCACATTGCAAAACCATTTCTGCAAAAGCCAGTTGCTGCAGCGTCACGCCAAGGTTCGTGCCGTCCCCCCTCATCTGGAAAACCTTTATGAGTGTTGTCTTGAACGCTGGTGCGCCCCAAGGATCGTTGCCGCTCCGTCTCCATGTTTTGTCGTCCTTCATCTCTGCTCGCATCTTGTTGCGAGTAGGGAGCTGGTGATCCATTTGCTGCGATCGTACAAGCGGAATATTTTTTTTTGCCCAAAACCAATACTTCAATTGCCATGTTGTCATCATTCTATTGCACTCCCCTATCACCGTTCGAATCCCACTCTCCGCTACGTGTGATCGCAGTCCTTCCTCCGCATTCTCCCCTATTAGTTTTACTGTTGTTTGCAGCGCGGTGAAAAATTCGTCCTCTGTTGGGTACAGTGTTGCCGCTGCAGAAAACACAAAGGCTTTTGCGACTGAACGAAACAGTCTGTCCTTCATTTTCTTTGTGAAAATGCCGCTTTGTTGGTCGGCTTGTCTCTGTCCTTCTCCGGCCGCGTGTGGTTTTCTTTACAAATTCGTGCCATCTGCTGGAAGACACACATCAGAACGCAAAAATGATATTAAAAACTCCAAATATCGCATCCAATTTCATAACTGTGAAAATCGACAATTCAGTAAACAAAGCACAATAACTTCCTCGCATCATGGATATCCCAGCATATTCGGTCCTTATGACTGCGACTTTCTGCAAGGGGAGCAACTTTACCACACTTTGCTTACCTTCTTGAATTTCGTTGTCCTTCCTCACTAGTTGTCTGTCATTCGGGGCCGTGTCGCATGCGTCTCTCTCCTTGTTCTGCAATCGTTCGCTTGTGCATCGCGTTCTTTTAAGAGATGGTGAAATCTCCCTCTTCTCTGCGACCCTCCCGTCTTCATCTGCCTCTTCGTCATCCTCATCTTGCGCTGTGTCGTCGCTGCTCCTCTCTTCGTCGTCATCGGCCTCGTCAGCATCACGAGAATCTCCGCCGGAAGTTTCACTGTCACTTCCCTCGTCGCTCATTGCCTTGTCTTCCTCTCCGTCCGTTTTTTCTGATATGGACTGCTCATCTTCTTCTTCTGCTTCCTCTTGGACCGCACAGTACAAATCGTCCGAGCCTCTGAAATTGATCGTCTTCACTGTGTTGTCCTTTTTGTATGTGATTCTCTTCTTCGTCTTGTGGTCTTGCTTCGGTATTCTCTCTTCTCGCGACCTCTTCTCTAGCACTTTTGGTGGACGGTTCTCGATGCCGCTGGCTCGGTTCCTCCCGACGGGAGTTACTGGGGGTGTTTCATTGCGTTCTTTCAGCTTCGAAATCTCTCTGTGTCGTGATGGAAGAGAAACAAGTGGTCCGTTTCTATGGCCGTGCGTCCGCTTCATTTTCGTTTTCTCGCATCCGCTTCTGCGATGCTCTCTCCTGTTTTTTTTCTTATCAGCCTTGTGTTTTTTCCTCCCCTTATCGTTATTTTCCACGACCTTCAAAGACCTGCACATATCCTCATATTTTGGCCTTGGAGCCATGACCCTTTTTTCACCACATACATCAAATTAGATACAACAACAACTGCGTCAGCTATGTCGTGGGTCATATCATACACCCCTGACCCCCGAATTGGCTACAGAGAGAGAGAGAGAGAGAGAGAGAGAGAGAGAGAGAGAGAGAGAGAGAGACTTTGAGTGAGTGAGAGAGAGAGACTTTGAGTGAGTGAGTGAGAGAGAGAGAGAGAGAGAGAGAGAGAGAGAGAGAGAGAGAGAGAGAGAGAGAGAGAGAGAGAGAGATTTCGACGTGTGTCTCAGCAATTGTTTCTGCTTATGTACCTCATCTGTGAGCCTGTCTATATGTTCTTGCTGCTTCTCTACCATCTCACCCCAGTTCCCTTGCATCAAAGTCGGCTTCTCTTCGTTGCCCCCGAACGAAAGAAACTGATCAGGCGTTGCATCACACTCTTCGTCTTTCTCTTTTGCCCGGTTTTTGCCAATCTTGACATCTGAAAATATATGTATATACAGCGAAATACATAGATAGATAGATAGATAGATAGATAGATGGATAGATAGATAGATAGATAGATAGATAGATAGATAGATAGATAGATAGATAGATAGATAGATGAAAATAGCAACAGAGAGACAGAGAGAAAGAGAGAGAGCGAGAGAGAGAGAGAGAGAGAGAGAGAGAGAGAGAGAGAGAGAGAGAGACAGACAGACAGACAGACAGACAGACAGACAGACAGAGAGACAGTGACAGAGAGAGACAGAGAGGCAGAGACACGACCTCACTACTTCCATCGGTTTTGTCAGCGGGCGCCTACCAAAGTTTGGCTATATGTACGTAGCAACAGACATTCTTATATATTTTTGTACGTCGCTGTTTTTCCGTCGATCAGTCCACACAACACTGGAATACAATGCTTAACAAATATCTTGGTTTTCCCGTCGACCCCACTCCCTCCCCTGCCCACCTTTTTTTTTTTTTTTAACTCAAATAAATAATAACGCAAAAAAAAAGCAAGAAAAAAAAAAAGCAAGAAAAAAAGAAAGAAAAAAAAAATCCTTACAAGAAGAAAAAATATAGAGTTCACTACTGCGGATCAAAATGACTGGTACAGTTGTCGTTCATTACCTTCGTCGCCCCCATTAGTAAACCTCAAAAGTCTCTCAATCCGTCCCTATCTCTCTCTGTCTCTGGTCCGCATCTCTCTCTCTCTCTCTCTCTCTCTCTCTCTCTCTCTCTCTCTCTCTGAGAGTTAGCGAAAAAAGGAAAAAATTCGCCTTGCCACTCTCACCTGTCTGTGTGTATTGCATGTGGCAGGGCACCGATC